AAAAAAAAAGAAAAAAAAGAACATAGTCGAATTGAGAACCTCCTCAGTTTTTGAAGTAGGTTAAAAAACAGTGACTTGATTTGATTCAACACCCACTGTTACGCAGAACAAACTAAAGCCATTTAAGGTTGTATCTTTAAGTATTTCTTTTCGATTGCGTGAGTACTAGAGGGCGCCAGGGTGCTGATTGCACTTGGGTGCTACAGCGGCTAGCGCCAGCGTTGTGTAGTTTCGAATCCAGTACAATTTACGCTCTCTTGAAATAAAGAAGTTTTGCATGGTCTATGGTTTGTAGTTAATCAGGGGCATTACCATTTTTTTTGATACCGAGGACGATAAAGAACATTCTTGTCTTGCGCCTAGTGGTAAGCGACACGCTTGTCTGTAACAGAATAGTTCTAAGAGCTTTAAATCACAAAGATTTGAGGGGTTGCCACTGTGCCACCACGGTGCACAATGACCAAAAAATTAAGTTGGCGTATTTATTTTTTATTGGCCGTATCGAGATAATAATAATAAAGATTTTTATTCAGGCATTGTAGCAGGGGATTCTAATCGACGGAGTAACACATCGAGTATATAACAAGAAATAGAGACGAAATGTCATTTAATTTGTTTGAAAACTATCCTGCCAAATCATTACGGTGACAACTGCGCTTCGATTGGCCAGCTCGAATTCGAAACAATTGACGGGTATCGTGAATTGGTTCACTTCAAATCGACCTGTTTAACTTGAGCTTTGCTATAATGGACAAAAATTGAAAAATTACATATTTAATAACCGATGAAATGTGATTCCGTTTGTTTTGTAATTAGATCTTTTGCTGTTTGTCCCACGCCACCGAATGGAACAGCCCCCATTGTTAGAGACATTATCTTTATTAAAATAAACGCATAATATTTTTGGAATATACGGAGACGTACACACAGGGGCCTTACCATTAACTCTTATTACGATTCAGGTTAGGACCCAAAATGGATCGTAGCGAGACAGCGCTACATGAAGTGTATATCACCGTCCCGCTTTCTTGTCGTTACGAACCTATACTGAACTGTAATAAG